CTGCCGATCGCAGGCCACGGAGTGACTTTGCACCACACTTAGCATTAGTGTGATGACCCACTCCAACCTGAGCGCTGGGGAAAGCGTGGAGGACCACTGCCTGCTCCCATCCCCTGTGCCCGCAGACGCTCTCCTCCCCTCTGCCAGCCTGGGTGCCACGATGCACGTACCAGCTCAAACTGAGCCTCCCGTGGCCAAAGCCCAACTCTCGTTAGCACTCTGCCAGCTCCTCTCATGACACTGCCACACAAGCACTGGGGATTTGGGCAGTAGCTGGCATCGCTCCACGCCAGGAGCAGTGTGCCCACAGGGATGTGCCATGGCACCAGACCGGCTGCAAGGACCTGCCCAAGGTGGGACGGGCTCTGTGTGGCCACCCTGGTGCAATACTCCAGGTTATGTCACAGGCCCTGAGTTTCTCCCTGGTGCACTCATTTGCTGCTGGGTGGCAAGTGGCAGCATCAGGGTGGGTGCTGGGCTGCTGCTGTACAAGCCCTGCATGGTGTGCAAGTGGGCAGGCACTCACTCTTGGCACAGGACATGTGCTGCAGGCAGGTGAGCAAACATCGGCTGTCAGAGGGGAGCAAGATGAACCCCAATGCTACGTGCAATGCGGCAGGCACCAGGCTGTTACCTGTTGCCTGCCCAGCCCTGCATATGGTCCTTGCAGCTCTGTGTAGGATCTGTGCGGACTGGGTGGGTTATGGCCACCTGAAAGCCAGGCGTGAGCGTGGACAAGGCTTGCATGTCACAGGTGGTGAGTCAGGCCAGCGGAAGATGCTCTTGCATGCCTTTTTCCCCCTTCTTGCCTACCCCTTATCAAGCACTGCATGTGCGCAATACCACAGCCCTCTGCCAGAAGGCCCTTGGGTCCAATCCTTACTTTTGCCTGAGCCTTTTCAATTAATGTAGCCCCATTCCCCAGCCAGCCTGAATCCCCAGGAACCCCTCAGGATGGGCAGTCTCCCTCTCTCTCTCTCGCTACACTTCCCAAAAATCACCAGGCTCAACCTGCTGGCTTGAGCTCAAAGTAACGCAACTGCTACACTTGCACTGCCCAATTTGCTGGGACACCCATTCGGGCTTGGGCACAAAGGTGAGACCCAAGGAGCTGTTGGGGTCCCCATCACCCTCATTGCTCCCAGACATGGCTGTGGGTGTGTGGGAGCACAGCCACGGCTGCCCAGACAGATGGACAGATGGCACATCCCACCAACACAGGGCTGGGAGGGTCAGCTCTGCACCGCTCCTCTTGTCTACTGGGACATAGGGATGGGAAGAAAAAGTAAAGCTTTGCTGAGCACGGTTTAACCTAGCAATGACATTTCTCCTTCTCGTGAGCACTGGGCTACACGCAGTGCAAAGTAAGTGGGGACCAGCCTAAAACCCCACATGGGGAATGTCGATCGAGCATCATGACCCGTCCCATCCCCGTTGCAAGGGATGTCGCAGCCAGAAGCCCTTGCCACAAGCCCCCATGAAACCAGGCAACCAGCAAGACCCCATTTGTCTCCCAGCAGACAAAAGCGCCCGAGGACAGAGAACTGCTTCACCTGGGAACGGCCTCTCCGCAGCACAAGGCAGCACAGGTCAATGGCTCAGGGCTCCTTGCCAGTACCACTGTTGCAGCGATGTCGCAGCACATGGCAGACCCTGAACCAGCTCCCCAGGCAGAGCTGCCGTCGCTCCAGGCATGAGAGCACCATATCTCCCAAGTCAGCTGCCATGCAGCACCCCAGACATACACCAGCCAGACATGGGTTCACAAGGGTGCTTGAAACCAGTCAAGCAGTTTCTTTTTATTTCTTAAAAAAAGAAAACAAAAAAACCCACCCCACCAAAAAAACCCCAAAGAATAAAAAAAAAAAATCAGTCCCCTAATGGTGAAAGTATAGATACGGCATTTACACAGCTACATCTATCTTCCGTTGACCCCTCCCCCCCCAGTAATGTAGATTTATATGCACTTACATAATATAGTGAGACACAGACAAACAAATGGGCTTCGAGAGCCTGCGAGAAGGAGCAGGGAGCAGGGGGGACCTCCAGCCTGCCAGGGACGTGCCAAGCTGCAGGACCTCCCCGACACCCGGCTTTTCCACCCCAAGCCACGGTGATGTCCCCTCCATGCTGCAAGACCTGGCCTCGGGGCTGCGCCAGTGGTGGGCAAGGAGGGAGGCTGGTCTTTGGCTGATGGGGTGACTTGCCTTGTGGCCAAGCTCAGGGTACGGAGCCTCCCGGCAGCCCTCCTCCTCCTCACGAGGTAGTCGGGGAGCTTGGCTGCATTTGACGTGTGAGGTACAGAGAGGAGGTGCAGCCTGGCAGAGGGCATGTGTGGCTGATTTTGGACGGGGGTGGAGGCAAAGCCTTGCCAGCCCGATGGCTCTCAGTATCTTCCCGACAGGAGCCGTTGCCCAGCCCGCAGTCCCTTCGCAGATGGAAGAGTGGTAGGAAGGGGTAAGGCTTCAGGTGTTGGCATCCTACTGACGGTGACCCCCGACTTGGGCACTCACCTTGCCTTCTTGGAAGCTCTTTGGGAACAAGGGAGCGATCCTGTCATGTGCTCAATGAGCCAAATACAGTACTTGTGTCAACGAAATGAAGCACTACCAGTTCTGAGGTTCAGTCTGGGAGGAAAGCAGAAATAGCCCTCATTTAGTACGGAGGCCACAGAAACAGCATTGTCCCCTCTGAGGAAAGCCAGGGGCAGTGAGGTCTTTCAGACAGAGAAAGGAGAGACACTTCTGAGATTAAAAGGCCATCCAGCTAAGAGAGGACAAGAACACAATGCCATGGAAAAAGGGCACACAGCCCTTCCACCCCCTACATGAAACTGCCAGAGCGGACAGGGGACAGGTCCAGCCCCCTCCCCAGATACGGTGGGGACTGGATTTGGCTGCCCAGCAGCTCTGGTTTAACTCATCCTGTCCTCATTCCTTTCCAAAGCAAAGGGATTTACTGGAGCAAGAGATGCGCAGAAACAAGGCAGCATTGTTCCTGCAGCCCACCCTGCAACTCTCTCGGGAGCACATCAACACCTCGCAATGTGCCACGCAAGGAACTTTGTTATTGGATTGGGTTGCAAATGTATTGCTTATTGCCAGCTCAGGTGAGTCAGCCTGATCAGAAGCTGATGTGCCACCAGAGAAAACTGTAGGTGGCAGGGAAAGGAATCGGTCAGAGACCAGGGTGCACGAATTCCCACGGCTAAAAATGAACCTTGGTGCTTCTGGGTATGAGGCTGGACTGGGATAGTCAGAGCTTCTTTATGAGATCAAACCAGGACTGGGACAAACTGTCCCATCACCCTCCCAGAACGACCCTGGCCTGAGGCACCACCATTTTCATTCTGTATGCAGACAGAGATATCTTCAACTCCACATTTCCAGAGTAGAAAATATGGGACAGAGAAGGAAGTGAGCATCTGGGGAATGGAGAACACTCCTTCAATTCTGCCAGCCTCAAATTAGAGGGAAAACTATAATTGTTTTCAGCAGCAAAAAAATGTGGCTGCGGAGCTGTGGCTGCAGTGCTTATACTTGCAATTAGACTAGAAAGGGCAACAAGGCTCGGTCAGCAAGAAACCCACAGAAGCATTTGGTTTAAAGCTCTTCTGGAGAGAGAGATGTGGCCCTGAATCTGCAAGTAGTCAAGTACAGAGGGGAAGAAAGCAGCATTTGGGAACGACAGCTCATCCATGCTCATCCTCCTGCTGGGATAAGCAACACTGAGGGCAAGGTTAGGCTTGGCAGGCAGGAATGTCAACATGCAAAAACCTCAGGCTCTGCTTCACCTGAAGCCCCCCAAACAGCCCACCACGCAGGATGAAATGGAAGTACCTGGAAGACAGGCAGATGGGGTGACAAACAAGGCAGGGAGCCCCTGAGCACCAGACACGCCTCACAACTGGTTGTGATGAGGAGCTGAACTCCCACATTCTGGATTGCACTTGATAATATCAGCACCTACTGAAGGACCCACCTCCTGGCTGCTGCCCGCCAGCCCGGGGAAGCTCTGTGGGTCACGGGAACGGGTGGTCCCCTATTAGTCCAACAGGCAGGGCAGTCTGTGTGGGAAGGAAAGCAAAGCATCCTCTTTCCAGGGCTTTTGGGGTCATTTTGATCCTCTGTGCCTTGCATAGTATTCTTCAGCTACCGAAGCAAAACATCTCTTGTTTGGCTGCAATACTGCAAGGGAGAAGCCTGCATAGTGTCCTGGATTAGCACAGAGAGGACCTGTCATATATGTATGTGTGTGTGTATTTTTCTATATTTTTTTTTCCACCAGGATGTTGAAGTTAACACCTGTCGTAGAGCAGGGAAGAACCAAAGGACGGTCCCGTGGCATGCACAGGGGGAGAGCAAGGCACAGCCCTTAACCAGAGAGCAACGCCTGTGCCTGCACATGCATGCAGAGCTACAGGGACCCTGTTTTCAGCAATCATTCCTTCTTTTTGCCACGTTCCCTAGGGCTCTGCTACACACCTGGACTAAGCAAGGTGACCTACAACATTTGACTGTGGCCCTAAGCCTCAGGGAAAGGCAAATCCTTTTGTGCAGCAGCCAGATTTCCTTCACTGGTACCACACCACGCTTCACTTCTCTCCCTGGCTACTGCCGTATTTCACTTTAATTCCCCATACAGGTGGCAAGAATGTCTATCAAGGTCCATCTCCCCAGCATGGAGAACCATGGTAGCCATCATATGCCACAAAGCTTGGCCAGAGCAGCCCCAGCTGCACGGCTGGGCTGCCGATGAGGCCACGGGAGCGAAGTGCTCGGGGGGACATGGGGAGGAGGGCAGGTGGAAGCACAGGGGTGGGGAGGGGAAGCCAAGCTGCTTCCTCCACACTGCTGCCAACGGGCACCAGCTGGAATGTGTGGGATCTCAATTATGATCTTTTTTTAAAGCCAGCCTCACCTAAAACTATAAATTAATCTGCTAATTAAATACTCAGGTGAGAGACCAGGGAACCTCCAGCTGTGCAAGCAGAGGACCAGCTATGGCTTCTTCCGTAGGTAATTGGAAGGGATCCAGCCCTCCCAGCACGGACCCCCAGTCAGGACCTTGCAAAACCACCAACCACTGCTGTTCTTCTCACGAACTTCAAACAAAGTCCCTTCTTTAAAGCTGTTGGTCTCCTCATCGCCTTCAAAATCTGCCACTGCCACATAGAGAGCTTCCCTGGCAATGTCCAGACTGGAGATAGGGGCCGAGGTCCTCTCCTTTGCTTCCCCTCTCTCCACTGGCTTAGATATGACCTTTGGGCTTACGCTGCTTTTCACTTTGGCTTCGTCTTGGACAGAGGCAGAGAGGAATGGCTTGGCTTTTGGAGGAACCAGCATGGGCCTCCCCGGTACTGGGGATGACCTGATTTCGGGTGCTTCCCGTGCTGGGGCCCTGAGCTCTGCCGTGGGGCCGGACGCAGGACCCCCCGTTTTCTTGGGGGGGGGTGGTCTGCGGGGTGGCCCAACAGGGCGCTGCGGCGGGGGGTCCCCGGTACCTGGGGGGAGCTGGGCCCAGGGGAGATTTGGGCAGCGCCTCTTTTGTGGTGTGGCTGTCCAGCTTGGGCAGGGGTTTGCTCTCCACGCTTGGTCGCTCCTGAAACCTTCCAGAAGCCTCTGAAGAGGCGTTACTGAAGGAGCTTTCACCGGCAGCGGTGTCCTGCTCACAGGGTTTCTCTGGGCACTTTGCAGGTCTAAGCTTGCTCCGCAGGCTGCAAATGTCCAGATTATCATCAGCTGGAGGTGGGTCAGTCCGGGGGGCTGCAGCAGGTTTTGGCCTGATCTGAGGTCTTGACTTCAAGAACGGATTCTGGGCGATGGGCTCAGGCTTGTCCTCCACAGGCTCAGCTTTTGGCTTGGTTGGCTTGACAATGGGCCGGAGGTTTGGCTTCTTCACCTCCTTGGCTGACACCTTGTGTCCACATTCCAGTCCCATTTCATTTTTCAGCTGGAAGAGTTTGCTCTTCTCTGGTTTCAGCTCAGGTTTCTTGCTGTCCTTCGGGGCTGCCGACTGCTTGGGTGGGATCATGGGCAAAATCATGCCCGGAGGCTTGGGGGGAGGCCTCTGCCTCTCCAGTAACTCGCCTTCTGATTTAATGATGGACTCCTTCCTGGGCGGTAGGCTGGGCTTCTCCTCTGTGTCACGGTCCAAGATCTCTTCGTAACCACTGGCAAAGGCTAGGTCCCCACTCTCGGGAGCCTCCTTCCCCTTCCAGTCTTTGGCCCACTTCCCACCACAGTCCGTACCGTTAGGAGGAGCCTCTGGCAGAGGACGGCACGGCCCCGTCACTTCCTCGGCGGTGCTGCTGTCAGCCGCGGTGTCGCCGAGCCGGAGCTGAGCCATCTCGTTAGGTAGCGGAGCCAGGAAATTCGGTCTGGACGCGTTGCTGGTTTTCTTGTACTTATCGATGAACGTGGCGGGGGCCCAGCCTTCCTTCTCCTCAATCTGAATGTACCACCAGCCGCTCAGGTTCTTCTCAATAACCTGCCGAGGGGAAAGGAAACCTCAGACATCCATGCAGGAGCCCTCTCTGCACAGGAGGGGATGCTGGGTGTCTCTGAAATATTGCCAGGGTGGTATATGGCCTCGGTGCCTCCCTGTCCCGGTAACCAAAAGCCATGTAGTCACAGCACTGGTATCCTAACAGGAGGGGAACCTGCTAACGACCTCTGCCAGGGAAGGGGACCTGCATGCCATGGGACCAAGGAATGACATAGCCATGTCAAGGAGCTGCGGCTGAGCTGTCACCATCCTGGCTGGGATGCCGGGTACTGGCGGTGGCCACTGCGCGGCACTGTCGGAGCGATCCCCCGGCAGCGGTACTGCACCGGTCAGCAACCGTCCGGCCTCGGCGGGCTCCAGACGTGGGGATGGGACCTCAGAGGAGCTGACTGGGGCAGCCGTAAAGGAAAAAAATCCTCTTAGAGAGGCACTGGTTACATTTTGTAAAACCACAATCACATCTGCAAGAGGGGTTCTGCCAGCAAAAGCCGGTGTGCTAGGAAAGCAATTCTGAAAAGGCTTTTAACTTTCTACCTCGCCTAAATAAGAAAAAAACATCATCTCTACCCCCATTTGTGATGTGGTTTTAATTTCCACCAGCTCAGACACACAGCACCCACACACTTGGGGGACAGGAGGCCACCAAGAGCACCAGGGACTCCAGAGTCTCATGAGCTCATATGGGTTTTTCTCCCAGTCTAGGAGAGCCCTGGGATGTTAACAGTCCACAGAGGCAATCACATGCCCCACCATGCTCAGTTTCCACCCAGAACGCCATGGTGAGCAGATCTTCCCTGCCTGGAAAGGGAGCTCCTGCCTGAAACAGATCCCTGGGCAATATGAGTCAGAAGCGCTGCACTGACGTGAAGATGTGAGAAGAGAAGATGACAGTCTCACCTCTACTTTCATTCCTGCCTGGAAGCTGATGCCATCAGGGATGGTGGTCTGGAAGTCAGCGATGGTGTAATATTCCTCTTCCACTTGAGGAGGGACAGGAGGTTTAGGCAGGTTCAAACCACGTGGCTATGACAAGAACAAAGAAAATCCATCAGCGTGTTTCTACAGAAGGTACGACACAACATTCGCACATCCCACCAGCCTGCAGAGACACAAACCAGCACATCCAGGCCAGGGAGATCAACTCTGCCCACGCAGCATCCTCACCGACACAAACCAGCAAACCCTTTCCAGGCTGAGCAGAAAAGTGCTCAGCGCCAGAGTTCTCGCTGACAGCAGTCACCCTCCCCAGAGGGCAGGAGCCAGTCTGCAGCCTCCCACTGGCAACCCAGCCTTGCAGGACACACTGGCCAAAAGTTCATTTAAAGACCACATGCAAAGAGAGGAGTCTTAAGACAGCAGGGGGGCAGCATGCATGCTCCAGCCTTGACCAAGAGCAGAGCCCATGGTACAGGGGCAAGAAACCAGGCAAAGAATAACCAGTGACAGGAGCTCCTTTCAGTGCTCCTCTCTGACTCCCTTTACCTTTGCTGCTCTCCTACCTCAGCCGGCACTTACTATGGTGAGATCTCGGCGAGGAGGGGGTCTCTGCCTCATCTTTGGTGATTCTGTGGAGGAAGAATTTCAGATGCTGTTGATTTTCTGGCTTTTCGTTGTACGTGTGCTCACAAGAGACAAGTGATGGAGAAAACAGAAAGGCAAGGACCAAGTCTGCCCCACAGGCAAGGAAGCCAAAGGAGGAACCTGTCTGTCCAACACCCTGAGTGGCACAGGTCACCCAGGTTTCGAGGGCATCCCACTGGAAGAGGAACCAGCTTTGCACCATTAGGTGCAATTCTGGGAAATGCAGCTGAGGTGACCATGCGAAATTTTTTTTTTCATTGCAGATCTGACCCAGAAGACCTGACCTGCAGAGGGGTTAAAATGCCCCAGCTTCTGAGAGGAGAGCATCTCCAGCTGAAACTGCAGTCTGGGAGGGCATCCTCATCACATTTGCTGATCCTCAGCAGGTCCCTGGGCAGCACTGTGCCCGTGCCCCATCTGCCTGTGCAATGCCACCTCCAGACCTTGCTGCAGAGCTCACAGCACCCGCAAGCCTTCTGCCTCTCTCACACCCCATTACATCGCCCAAAAGCCTGCAGGAAAGGCTGTGCTTACACCCCAGCCACCACTGGTCTCCTCCCGACTGGCCACTTACTGCGTCGGATGTCAGCATTGGGCAGGGGACGGCTGTCGAATCTCCCATCCCTTTGGCCTGCAAGCCCATCTTTCTCTCGGCTTGCCACGACCTGCTGCCGGGAGATGCCATCCAGATCCAAGGCACATGAATGAGCAGAGGAGCCTGACCCCAGCTTCTGCGAGAACATCTCTCCATTCCCCTTTTTGAGGTAGGACGCGGGGGCCCAGCCTTCTTGGCCCTGGTACCTGTGGCGGCAACAACAACAGCAGCATCACTGCGCAGAGTCCCTGCGCTGCACCGGGGCCACAAGCCCTTCCCGGAGGAGTGACCCCGCTGCTCTCGAGTGGTGTTGAGCCATCGGACAACCGCAGAGCCAGAGCTCAGGACACACACTGACCAAAGATACCGCATGATCCCAGCAAAATGAGCTTGCCAGGTGTCATGCTCCGTGGCACGTGGGCACCTGGAGAGCTCCAGCCATGACTAATGCTCCCGTGCAAGCTGGCCACAGCCAGCGGGCCAAGGGCTGGGAATGGCACGAAGCCCCATTTCCTTTTCTCCTTGGCCATGGCACTGGTTCAGGAATGAAACGCACTGGCGTGGGAATCCAAGGGGAAAACCAGAGGGCTGCTGCTAGGATTGATGTACCTGGGCTCTGGAGAAAGCACAAGCCCTCCGCCTGCATGCCGGCAGCCTGGATCCCTTCCCTGCTCTAAAACTGCAGTTTAGGAGAAACCAGCCCTGCGATCTGATTGAAAAACCACATCCGCAGAGTCTCCCTGCCATGCCAGAGGGTCCCTCGCCAGCGTCAGAGACTCTCCCCGCTGGCTGGGCTGCAGCCACTACGCTCAGATGGCACCAGCTACCGAGCTTGTAATTGCCTTTAGAGCTCTCGTGGCAGCACTCCTCTGCTTAAAAAGTCAATGGATATTTTTCTGGGGCTTTGCTGCTGCCAGGACCACAGGTTCAATGTAAGGTTAAGAAAATTGCAGCATGTGCTCCCACCCTGCTCATGTCCGGCCGTTTGCTAGACCACAGGCAAGAGAAAATGAGCTTCCAGGAGAAAACATCTATCAGCTCTTGATGATCTGGAGTCTTTGGCCTCAGCACCCCCTGCACAGAGCAGATCTGGCCCAGACAACAGCCCTTCTTCACAGGAGCCTCCTAACAGAGCCAGAGGATCCAGCCTGCCTCGGGGACACTTACCGGTTTTCCTCTCAGCAGCACACGACGTAACACTAACGCCCTCACACCCGTTCCCTTTGCACTGTGTGCACATGTGATGCCGTGACGCAGTCCACCTCTCAGCACAGGAAATCGGGGGATTTTAAAGATGTTCAAGCAGAGCTATCCTTGGCTGAAGCCCCGAACGTCAGCTAGCCGTAGTTTGTAGTTACGGAGAGAAATGAGTTCTGGTATTCTGGCCTTCCCGACACCCTAGACTTGCCTTTGGACTGTACATCCCATGTGCATTGGGTCTCTGCTTTGCACAGGCTCAGCTGCAGTGCCAGGGAAGAGCAAGAGGTAGGGACAGTACCTGATTTTCCACCAGCCCTCCAGGTTCTTCTGGATCACCTCCACTACAGTCCCTTTGTCCAAGTTCATCTCATCCTGGTCTCTTGCGGTATACGGGTAAATAACGGTGTACTTCTCCTCTGTTGGAAAGAAAGTGCAGTTTCACAGAGATACTGTTTTATGGAAATCTGGACTCAGATGAACAATGGTTAAGTGCTTTAAATGATAATTCTTGTTGTAATATAGGTGCAAACACACAGAGATACACAACCATGTGAAAGAAATGCCAGTGAAATATATTTCAAAATAAAATAAACCTAGTTGGGTTTTGAAATGTAAGTTTTGGTGAGCTAGTCTGGTCCAAGGAGAAGTCTAAAACAGTTCCTCCTCTTCCTTAGGACTAAAGACTATCTTTTACATGACAGCTCTCCTTTCACTTGCTCTTCGCAGAAGCCCTTCCATGCATCCATTTCAGTTCAAATGTCTTTCTCAGAGCCTTTAAAGAACTGTCCTCTATACAGGGAAAGAAATCCCACGGGCATCAGGGAGTAACCCCACACATCCTGACAGGTCTAAAACTGCTCTACAACAGCAGGTCTACATGAACTTCCCTGTTCAACAGCTGGGTCCCCCAAGACATTGGTGAAAGCCATGTGGTAAGCCTGGAGAAGAGTCTGATGTCCTGTCCACGAGACCAAATGATGGTAAGCAGGGACATGGATGCTCCTCCCTTCAAGAGGAAGGGGAGACATCCTAACACCCATGTGGACATGTCAGACAAACAGGTCCATCAATCCACCCCTCTCCCTCACCTTATCCTGTCCTCTCTCAAAGAAACCCAGGAAAGCAATTGCCTGTCCTTAAGCAGTGTCACAATAGGGTGAAGGCCATTTTGGGAAACGTCTACCTCAAACCCCACACCACTAGACATTCATACATCCCCACCGTGCAGGTTTCCTGGATTTGTCTTCTGGGAGGAGCACAGCCCTTGAAGGGCCTGATTTCCACTCTCTTTGTGCAAATAAGTCAAAGCAGAAAATGTCCTGTCATATCCAGCAAAACCAAGGTGTCTCTTCTCCTGACCCCATCTGAGCCACCAACCCCAGGACCATGGCTCAGAGGAGTGACTCTTACAGGAACCAAGGCAGCAGTTGCAAGAAGTCTGCATACACATGTTGGGGTAAAGCCTCTGTACCCAAAACAAGCCTCAAAAAGTGAGGAGGGACATCTGATAGCGGAAAGAGAGGTGGAAATGAGCGGGCCTAAGGAAGGCTGAGGAGCATGTATGGCACACACTGAGGACTGACACAAGCAGGGGTCATCACATGCAAAGCAAACAAACATGCAGACAATAAGGCTCCAAGCACAAAACATGGGCAGCCAAACAAGTCTCTCTGAAGTCCACCTTGACCCCATCCACTGGTGTACAAGTCCCCAAGAGTCCGACGGCGGCCAACGTGCCTGGGCAGAGACCAGTATCTCCATGGGACTGGGAAGAGCATGTTGGGGAAGCAGGAGAAGGACAAGAGAGGATGTAAGGAGGCGGCACTTCAGTCCAAGCGGAGACAGGGCTGACACCAGAGAGTGGCACAGAGACTGTACTCACCTGGAGCCCTCTGAGGGCTGAGCCCCCCTCCCACCTCCAGCTCCCCAGAGGAGGGGCTGATCCAGCTACAGCACTGCTTTGAGCATACAGTCATCAATGGGAAGGATGTGTTCTCCAGGGGCATTTCAGTTTTGCTCTAAGCAAAGGTTGCAACCTTGCTATTCTCATAATGCGAGCTCATGCATGCTCTTTGTTCTGCGTGGGTTTAGAAAACGCGTGAATTGTCCTAGGACCTAAGCTTTGCTCCTCCTCCAGTGCAGGTGAAACAGCTCCCTGGGGCCTAAAGGAGGCACTGGGATGGCAGGACTGAGTGTTCCCTGGAGATGGCACCTTCAGCCCCTCCGTTGGTGAGCAGAGAGGCCAGCAGTTACACTGCCAGCATCCAGCTGCCTCACTCCTGCTGCAGCACTGGAGCAGAGCACTGGGCAGGCAGGACCATTATGGGTAGACATGACTGAAGAGCATGTGTGGGTTTGCCTAAGTCCTGCCTAAGTCAGGAAGGGCTACGCAGTCCTGTGAGCAGCTCAGTGCAGTTCAGCAAGAAGAAGCTAGGGCAGGTATCTCCAGCACCTTCTTACCTTCATCGGGCTGCATGGAGAATTCATCCTGGACACCATCCTGGGCCTCCAGGCAGGTCGCCGGCACCCAGCCTTGTTCCTCCGACGTGCTCACAAACCACCAGCCTGAGAAGAAAACAGCAGGTGGCTCAGCCAAGGGCTCCCACCAGCCAAAAACTCCCTCCCTCCCTCCAAACCATGAGCCTGGGGGGCCTTTGCCCTCTCCTTGCTGCCTACATGGGAAGCTGGGGTGACCCCAAAGCGACAGAGCCAAGCACTATCCAAAACAGGAGCACAGAGAACAGCACAGGAGAATCGCAGCTGAATGATATCTAAATGTACAGTTCCCTCCTCACGAAAAATACGGGAGGCTGAGAACTGGATGGCTCCAGCCACCGCGTTTGCTTTCCTTTTTTTCTCTTTTTGTGGTTCATTTTCTCTCAGTCTGGGTCAGCAAGCCCAGGCTAATTAGCAGAGATGAATACACTGTCTGCAAATCGATAGCTGACTCCTGCTGCGCTCTCGCCTTCTTTACATTTGTGGAAACAGCAAATTTTAAAAGCTAAGAGCAAATGCAGGATTAAAACATGAGCTCTCTCAGTGGAAACCTAGCCAGCTCCATAGCGGCCACAAGCAATTCTGGGCCACCCTGGGTGTCCAATCAAAATAAACACGTGCTCCTTGGTTATTAAAAGCACAAGTTATTTGTGTCTTTAGGGGGGAAAAAATAAAGACCGAGCGTTATCCTCAGAACCTCACGAGTGAGTCATTTAGAAAGACAACTAGATTGTCGCAGAGGGAATCAGCAGCTACCTGCGTGGAAGGGAAAACCAGGGCTGACATTTTATAAATTATTTGCCATAGCTTTTGAATTCGCTGTGCTAATAGGTTTCACTTGCTTCAGGGCTGCTTTTATTTTCCTCATTCTCAAACATAGCTGCTGGTGCAACTAATCCTCTGGGAACCGGCTTTCCAGCATTTTAAAACCTATTTTCACAATTTATCTTTACATCCCCCTAAGCAACTTCTGTTAACTTCAGGGAATAAATTCCCCTTTTCAACAAACTCCAGAAGTTGGGCCCATGACATGACTCAATCCCTTTACAGAGGCTAAGAGCAAGTTTAAATTTTGGAGCAAGTGAATAGCTCGGCTGCCTGCCCCGCTCCACAGCCGGGTGCTTCATTGTGTTCGGAGGCAGGAATTCTGAATGCACAATGGGGGCTTTCATGGGCAGCATGAGAGGGTCCCCCTCTGTCAATAAAACAAGCCTGCCAACTCCGGGAATGGTTTTTGTCCTCAGGACCCATCGGCCAAGTTTTTCAGGATGAAGAAGCATAAAGTAGAGACTGTAAAAGATGGACGGCGCCTGGCGCTCAGCACACGGGTAATCAGACCCTTCCTTTAGAGACAGCCCTGAAGTCTTGTCCACGCTCATACAGACAGCCTGCGGACTGAAGCCCCTTCCTCCACGTCCCACCTTAGCTGGCCATCCAAGAACATCCCTGTGAGGTACCTGGAGGCTGCTTCGCTTAAGGTCCTGACAATACAGGATTGCTATTCCTGCCCCTGCTCTGTGACGGAGAGTAGACCCGAAGCCCTCTGCCAAGCCAAACTCTCTGTACCTGATTCATTCTTCTCAATGATATCCACCAACTGGCCCACGCACAAGCTGATCTCGGAGCTCTCCTGCTTCTGGTAGTCCGCCACCACGACATACTGCTCCAGCACCAAGGGGTCGACCGACGCAGAGTCAGCTCCTGCACAGGGGGGACAAGAACCGACCCATGTGCCAGGGTCAGCACCAGCACCCAACAGCACGGGCCACCGCTCCCGAGCACCTGCTGGTTTGCGAGCAGCTCCAGGACACCCTGGGGACCCCAGCGTGAGATGTGAGCCAGAGACTTGGGCAGAGTGAGGAGGAGAGAGACCAAACCAGCAGCCAGGTGAGATGGGTACAGCCAGGTGAGACCTTTCACTTGCTACCCACCTTCCTGGTCACAGACAGAGCCGTCCAAGCAACCCCACCACCGCCACAGACGCACACAGCAGCCTGGTCCCTGCTGTTGGAGTCCGAAGGGGCTTGGGGCAATCTCCTGTGCACTGGCACCAGCTGCCCACACACATAGACCAACTCAATACACACAACCTGCAGTGAGTTTTGCCGGTCCTGGCTAAAGAGCCTAGACATCCAGGCGGAGGGGTGTCTGTAGGACAGAGCAGCACACTCCGGTCATTATTGCCCTTACATATTTCGGTCACAGCTCACCAACACGGTTTGCTCTCTCTGCTATTTGCTCCACTAACTCTGCTCAGCTCCTCCTGCTAGAGATCCCAATTTCACGACAGAAAAGGAAAAACCAAAATACCCCAAGGAGGAGCAAAGGGGCAGGCTACACCGAGAGCAAAGCCCTCCTTTGGCCAGGCAGAGGGTCGCCAGCCGGAGGAGAGGGGGATGCGGCCGGGCTGCAGGCAGCACCAGGGGCAGGGCCCCCCCGCCAGGGGACCGCCAGGGCAAGGCTCCTTGGTGTTTTGCAAGCACCGTTTTCCTTTAGGAGAGTGCTCTGGATATAGATGAACCCCCTCCGCTTGGCGTTGCTTGCTATGGTAGCACTGCAGTAGAGGTTTCCGCTCGCACCTGTTACTGCTTTAGAAACACGGCCCCAAGTTTGTCCCTAGACACCCACCAAAGATACCCTTTTTCTTCATGTGCACGGAGGCTTGCTGTGTGCGGGGAGACGACCAAGTGACCCAGGGCTTTGCAGGCTCACGTCAGCAGATGCTATGTGTGCTCAGTGCCCAGACCAGCCTATTCAAACCCACCAAGCCGGGTGTTCGCTCAGTCTCAGCCTCCCACTACACCAGCCGCAAGGCGTTCCGTTACCCAAAGCACCAGCAGCGCTTGCCCCATCTACCTCCAAAAGCCTCCAGGAAGGGAAAAGGTGCCAGAAACTCTTGCCCGTGACTGCCCTCCACCCCGAGCCCTGGCTCTGACCTCCAACCTAACACTTAGCCTTGTGGCTTCGCCACCCGTCAGATGAGGACATTATTATATTACACTATTCTCCCCAGGTGCAGTAAGAATTAATATTTGTGAAGTGCTTTGGAAAGAGCATAGTGTTAATTATACAAAAGAATCACACACCTGATCGTGGGTGTTGTGTCAAATTTACAGGGGCTGTGCATGTACCCTGAGCAGGGAGCCTCAAGTTTTGGGTCAGGGCAGAAATCACATCCCGCCCAGCCCTCTAGCTGCTACAGCACAGCAGATATACGGGACAATTACCTCCCAGTCTCTGAAGGGTGTGAAATTACAAAGAGAGTGGTGGTCCCTTGGGACAATTACGGAATCACGGAATCACAGAATTGGTTTGGTTGGAAGA